GCTGTGACATGCAGATCAATGGATGTAGCAACACTTACTGGAGTCTGGCCTTTGTTGTTTCCAATCGTCATTTTATCGAAGTTAACTACACACTTCCTCGGGGTGGCGTGATACTAGTTACATGACCTCGTTGACGCAACAGTATGAAATATTTGTTCAAGGTAACAATTCAAGCAATTTTATTACTACCTACACCTGTTTATGCCACTATTAAGCGTCTAACACCATCATGGAAATTGTGAAGAGTTATTTTATACACCTATATAAATAGTGGTAAGAATTTAAAATTTTCAATTGCTACTTACTTTATCCCAGAGCCTTATTAGGCTCGAGCTTTAAAAATTAATTTAAGTGATCAGATTTTTCTTATCTCGCTAGTGTGGTCTTGGTTTCCATAATTATCTACTCAGACGTTACACAACACCATTATTGATGTTTACAGGCTTCAACAACCAGCAAAATCAAAGCTAAATAAAATATACAACAACTAAACTGAAACGTAATTAACAGACTCAACTCATAATAAAAGTTGAAATAAATGGAAAAACAACAAAATAAGTTTAACCAAAATTCAAATCACTGTACCGGTTAAGAGCAGGATAACAAAAAGTCACATATTATGATGAATCGTAAAATAAAATTCAAGTAACTACTTTACGGATTGCAATTTAAAACAGTACCTTTAAACACAATTCAAAAATAATCAAAGTATGAATGTAACGTAAAATATAATTCTAATAAAAGTGGAGTACTGAATTTTATTTATAGATGTAGTTAATGAGTAAACATTTATAAGTTATTGTATTTTTCGTAGTTTCATGTTTGGATGCAGCGAGACACTTTAGTAAGATTATTTTATGCTAGAAGCATCTGATAGGTGTTAGTAATTACGTGATTATTCTTACACGAAAGATTACTCTTTAAGTTATGAGAGAAAGCAGTTGTTTTCTTTTCAGCGGGAATTCAGTGGTGTCGTTGCTGTGTTAAGTTTAAAGGCCATGAGAGCGTTTGAAAATCTCACTTAGTGAACTTCAACTTATTTTTTGAATTCTTGAATATTTCACTTTCGGGAGGAATTGGAGTCCAAAATTTTTAGAAATTTAAGTAATCCATGCTTAACTTCATTTCGTGTAACTCGTAGGGGTTATTTTTAGTTTCTTTATTTTAATTTACCTTAAAAGGGGGAGATCACACAGAAACTGGTGAGAGTTCTTTTCACATATAATTAGTTACACACACTCACCTTGTTGTACTGTATTCTAGTGTGCCGTTTTTCAATGTATGACACACACCGTTGAAAATTCGGAAGACATCAACTTCAATTAAAGATATTCTACAACCACCTGTTTCCGACCTATATGCTCTGACGTACATTTACGAGCCAGAAAATTTCTGTGTAGAAAGAAAGGTGAAATTATGGGCCATCTCCACATAACTTTAGACTTGTGGTGTATTTTTACTTGAGTCGTAACGAATCTCATATTTCACCCTATCAGAGATACTTAAAACTCTATATCAATGATACAAATTTCATCCTATGGTTCACATAACTAGATGTAGTTAGAGGCGTGTCTACATTTTTAACTTGTCTGCCACAATTTGAGAGACTTGGTGGTATCCACCAGAGTCCTTGCAGCTCCTGTTCTTACCAGAAATTCCACAGCCCAAGCAATGCCCAGCCTTGACAGAGCTGGAATGATCACCACACTCTTCAGTACAAACAGACTGTTAAGCTCTCCTTACTCAGGTCTAGCCGCCTTTAGTTTTCCAGAGCTTGAGTTATGGCAGATACAACTCACTCCAATTTCTCCTGCACTTGTTTTGCATTTGGTTGAGGACAGAATATTTCTAGGGACCACTTCATTGGATCTCAGACACACTAGTCTGTTACTGCCTCTAAAGTAATTCTCAGCCATTTAGGCTCCACTGCCAAAGCTCATTTTCAGAGGCAGAACTTTATGAGGCCTTTTAGATGCTCCAGATGGTTCCCATTTTCTTCCCTGGTTTGTGGCTGTTAAAGACCTTCACATCAATGATAACTCTAAGATCTAGGAGAAGGTCCATCCTACATGCTGACCAACCTGCCTCAACTCTCAGCTCATCTTATTTCAGACAATGCACTCGCCTCCCTGTAGAGAATGGGTTGCAAACCAAGGGTCTGGCATCGGAATACTGGGCATGGATGTACTGCAGAAGCTTTTTATCAACTTTTAACTGTGCAAAAGATGAACTGAAGTTAGAACATCTATATTCTACACAAGGACAATGGGCCCCTTGTTTGTATCTAGAGGAGAGAACTTTAGCATCTCCATTTATGCAAATGATGTACTGTGGTTTACTACAGACCAGACTGAATACGTTGATGTCATGAAACAATGCACGAGGCACGTTGTTTTCTGTATGGAAAGCAGGAAGTATTACGACAGATTTCCATCAGGGTATGAAGTTCCAATGCTGCTCTCTATTCAGTTTCCTACTGAAATAATCATTGGTGAAGCAAAGGAGGAGGCAGTGGCTGTAATGCTATGGTTACTTTCGTCAAACCTTGTAGAAAAATGAATACTCTGCTCCCAACCCACCCGAGATCACTTCTTGATGGTTTCAGTAGCAATCTAGATTCAACATAATGTCAATGTCTTGGTGATTTGTTGCTGGCTAAGTATGTCAGTGTATTTGTTGTACCTGTCGGCTGATTTTTTAGAACTACACTACCATGTTGAAATAGGCTATTAAACAACTACGTTACCAATGATGGTTGGAGACGGCTTGAATGTGTAATGAAGAAAAAACTTTAATATAAGTTTAGCATAACAGCAAATGTACAACGTTTTGTCATCATCATATATTTTTATATCACAAAAATAGGGGATTCAGCTGATCACTTTCTGTGTAGGCGTGAATTTACTTGAAAGTTTTTTCCATAAGTTACTTCTTTGTAGACTAAAGAGATAATATAAATTTACTCTGTGGATTTTGTTTTTAACAAAAAGCAAAATAGACACGTTTAACTTATTTCTTTTAAAATATTTAGGATTAGCAATGAACTAGAACAATATTAGGTAAAGTATGTAAAATAAGAAACAGAATGACCCAGAGATTTATAACTTTTATTAGTGTTCTTCATAAGAAACTACAAAATAATGTATCAAATACAATCTTACGTTTTCGCTTCTTTGACTAAATGAATTAAGTAATAGAGACAATGTAAAGTGACTTCCATTAAGTACTATAAAAAAGTATATCCTATCAAAAATAATTTACAATAACAATGATCGTTCTGAAACCAGTTTATACACATTAAGTCTCACAACACTCAGTAACTACGTTAAATATGTTTGGAAATTAATTTCAAGATTTTGTGAAAAACTAAATTACTGATACAGACAAATGTTACTTTTTTTCTTTAATATAAAACATAAAAATACACAATAAATCATGCTGAATTATTTTTGTAATTCACATTTGAAAAATCCTATTTCTTGTATATAAAAAAAAAAGTTCAGATCACTTCAGGAACCACTGTATAAAATCAAAATATTTCTATAGACAACTGAAGGAACGTTGGTTTTGATAATGTGAAACAAATGATAAAATACAAACTACTGACTTTTGAAATAATGAGTGAACTCACAAGAAAAGTACAAAAAGGAAACAAACTTTGATCTCAAGACATAAAATATACGTTACCCCAATCTTTAAATAAATACAAAGTTAATAAATTTAAAGATGAGAATAAAGTAAAAACAAAGTTCTTTCTTCAGTTACCACCAAACGGAGATTTAACATGTCTCAAACTCAAATTAATAACAGAGCTCACCACCAGGGGGTTAACAACCTTAAAACAATGTTTAAATGATTAAAATTTAAATGTTTTTTTGTTTTAAATCTTTATACACTATTTAATTCATAGATTGGGGATTGGCTATCAATTACTTTATTTACTGGTCTTAAAGTTTAGGGCACAATAAAAATTTTTATTATTCAGTGATTACTTGTGTGATGGATTAAGAATTTTAACATAATTCCAAAAAGAATATTGACAAGTTCCAACCTAAAATACTGCTAAACAAGAAAAACATTTTCATATTTACTAAATAACGTTTAATTCTTTGTATCTGCTACTTAGTAATGTCAATACAGTGAAATAGCAAACATTTTAAATTCTATGCTATCATTTGTGGTTGTTAAGTGTACTAGCAAGTTACTTGTCTGCTATTATTTCACATTCAAGATTCTGTAATCTAATATTATTTCTCTAGCTTTAAGCTATTACAATCTCGTAGTGCCATTTTACTTGCTAAACTTTTACTATCAGAGTTGCATCACTAGCATGTCGTGTTTTACAACGACATGAAAATCATCTCGCGTGTTCTAGAAAACATTCATTGTTAAACAGTTATCAGAGTCGCATCACTAGCATGTCGTGTTTTACAACGACATGAAAATCATCTTGCGTGTTCTAGAAAACATTCATTTGATAAACAAAGTATTAGAGTTGTATCACTAGCATGTTGTGTGTCACAATGACATGAAAATCATCTTGCGTGTTCTAGAAAACATTCATTTGTTAAACAAAGAGTTATCAGAGTTGCATCACTAGCATGTCGTGTTTCGCAACGACATTAAAATCATCTTGCGTGTTCTAGAAAACATTCATTTGTTAAACAGTTATCAGAGTTGCATCACTAGCATGTTGTGTGTCACGACATGAAAATCATCTTGCGTGTTCTAGAAAACATTCATTTGATAAACAGTTATCAGAGTCGCATCACTAGCATGTCATGTGTCACGACATGAAAATCATCTTGCGTGTTCTAGAAAACATTCATTTGTTAAACAAAGAGTTATCAGAGTTGTATCACTAGCATGTCGTGTTTCACGACGATATGAAAATCATCTTGCGTGTTCTAGAAAACATTCGTTTGTTAAACAAAGACATATCAGAGTCGCATCACTAGCATGTTGTGTGTCACAATGACATGAAAATCATCTTGCGTGTTCTACAAAACACTTACGAATAAATATTTGTTTTCTACATTACAATTATCGTTTGTTTGATACAGACAAATGTGGCACATTAACTGCATAAACTGAAATTACAACTCCAGGACTTAACAGATGCCCTAAAGATTATAGTGAAAAGATATTTCAGGTCAATAGTCTAGAAATCACAATACAAACACCCAATAACAGCTTAATTTGCCAACCGTAATAACCTTACAGGCTGTAAAAAAATATTCAACTTTTGACGAGTTATTTTCAAAAATCTGGCTGAAATATAAAGAAAACATCAATATAATTACCACACTTACATAAACTATCTAAAAAAATAAAACTGAAGAAATCTGTTAGTGACATTAATTAATGTAACATTTCTAAAGCTGTTTATAAATTGATGATTCTACTTTGTGTGTGTGTGGGGGATTGCATGTAAATGTTGACAATAACACTGACAAAAAATGTTAACACAATCAAAGTTCAGCTTATAAGGGGGCATCCTGGTTTAACACTTCTCTGACAATATTTGTAGAAAACACACTCTTCTTAACTGTTCTGCCATAGCGCGTTTTTCCAGCCGACGCAGGTCATAATCAATAGATGGACAAAGGGCAACATTTGTAATTAAACAGCTCATAAAACTATTTATTTATTTACATTTTTACATATTAATCCAAGATTGCTGGTTCGTCTGAAGTATCTGTACAACACTACAGATTGTTTTTATATATATTTGCTGATGTAAATCCAGGAGTGTCGCTTAATTTAGAGCACTGACAACACTAACAGTTTTTGTATATTTTCTGACATAAATCCAGGAGTGTCACTAGATTTCAAGCACTGACAACACTAACAGTTTTTGTATATTTTCTGACATAAATCCAGGAGTGTCACTAGATTTCAAGCACTGACTACACTAAACAGTTTTTGTATATTTTTGACATAAATCCAGGAGTGTCACTTGATTTAAAGCACTGACTACACTAAACAGTTTTTATATATTTTTGGCATAAATCCAGAAGTGTCGCTTCATTTAGAGCACTGACAACATTAACAGTTTTTGTATATTTTTGACATAAATCCAGAAGTGTCGCTTGATTTAAAGCACTGACAACACTAAACAGTTTTTGTATGTTTTTGACATAAATCCAGGAGTGTTGCTAGATTTAAAGCACTGACTACAGTAAACACTGTTTTTGTACATTTTATGACATATATTCAGGACTGTCTGTTGAACTGAAGACTTTGTATGCTCTGATGAAGCTACATTTGTAATATGTATGTGGTAATTTATTTAAATTCATCTATCTTATTAGCTGCATGAATGTATATATAAATAATTTTACTAAATAAAATAAAATTTAAAAATTATTTGAGCAGAGTTTGTGATGAAATTGTGCCCATTTATTTGGATACAAAGTTTAAAGTCCCTACTAATTCAAATGATTTTTTCTTGTACGTCCCTGAAATCAAAACTAATAAAATTAACAAAACTTCATATTTTAGTCTTAAAAACAATAGAAAAATTGTTATACAAGTTAGGAACTTAAACAATAGCAATATCAACCTAAAATAGTGACCTGAAAGTATATCATAAGCTCAATTTCAATATCTTCTCTCATTTATTTGTATTAACACAGTTCTAGCAAGAACTTTTGTTCTCAAAGTCTTTTTTTTTTGTAACCTACGCGATGCTTCAAAGCCGATATTATAAAATATCCAAATAAGAAACTTCTTCAGCTATCCCTGTAATAGACAAAAGTCAAGGTTAGTGTGATAACACCATAAATCCTTTAAAGAAACTCGTAATTCAAAACCTAATAAAACAAATATTGCTAAAACTCACAGAAATTTATTTAGATAAAAAAAAAAGTATCCACATTGTATAAGTAATTGATGCAAAAGACCAGTAGTTAATTGATATTTTAAATTCATTTTCTAACGTTATTTCTCATGAGAAAATTGTGATAATTTGGTAAGTCATCTAATATAAAACACGTGTCCCTCTATACTAATATTGACATAAAGCTCCCTTATTTTTTTCTGGTACAAAACTAATTGGGCTGATATTAACTAATAGAGACTGAAACTGGACTACCTCAGGGTTCAGTGTTTCGACCTTTGCTCTTTTTGAGTCATACGAATGACAAAAAAAAACTGCTTAAATTTGGTGATATTAGTTCTTAGTTGTTGGCAAATTGTGGTAATAACTGGCATGCAGGTTATCATAATTTAAACTGTACTTGTTGCTAGTGGCAGAACAAATAAGGTTTTGGATTGTATTTACAGAAATATTGAATATTAGCTTAAAGAGCTTATTTTATTGTATAGGTCAATGGTCAGTTCTCATTTGGAGTATTGTGTTTAGTCTTGGCCTCTTTAACTTAGGAAGTATATTGAATTTTGAAAATGTTGGCATACTATAACAGTTTAAGATAAAATTCATTTAATTTCTGTAGTGCATATTAGTGTACAGAAGACATTTTAATACTAGAAACACTAAACTGTTGTTTTTCTTTGACTGGACACTCTACGTTTTCTTTAAAGCTTCTTCAGCAGCGTTCCAGGGTTAGTTACACTTTGTGTTAGTGGAACGCTCCTGAAGAAGCTGTAAAGAAAACGTGGAGTGTTCAGTCAAAGAGAAACAACAGTTTGGTGTTACAAGGTCATTTATTTCTAAGTATTAACAGGTTAGGATCTCTAAAATTGTGGTGTCAAGAAAAAAAAGGAGAGTTAAGAGGGTACGTGATTGAGTTGTTCAAAATTATTGAGGAAATTGATATCAATTCATACATATGGTAGGACAAGGGGGGCACAAATGTAAATTTTGGTAGCACAGGAATTATCTCCAACTTAAGCAGTTTCACTTTTATAAACAAGGTAGTTTACTTTTGTCTTCAAGCATGTGGGTTGCAGTAACTTTACAGGAAATCTCAGTAAATATTAGGGATACACGGGTAGTAAAATCTGGCAGAATACTGGGTCCGGGGTACCCAGCCACTAAACTCCACAAAAATGAGAAGCAAAAACAAAATTGACGTTTATTACAGTTAATCGCATAAACACCGATAGTACATACAAGTTTTACTTCCAACTTTCAAAATTGAATAACAAAAATGTGCACACCAGTTTGCAGAGTGCCTGTACTTTTGGAACTTGTTTAAATTGTACTTGAGGAACAGTAGCATTTTGGCATTTTCGGGTAAAAGCCTTGATCTTTCATGTGTGATAATGTTGCCAGTTCTCTGTCCACACTGGTTGGGGGGTGCGAAGAGATAACGCCTCACTATCCTGGCTATTGTGAGGAATTTGACTATCAAAAGTGAGGCCAGTGAAACTAAATGCAGAAACTGTGGTGTTAATTAACACGTTTTAGAATCATTCTTCTTATTAATGCCTAGCCCCAACTTCTCAAACCCTAACCCCTATTGTTTTCAAAACCTCCACCTTCCCCAGAAAACCACTTCTCAAGCCATGCCTGTTATTAACCCCTATTGTTCTCTGAATCCCCAACATTCAGTCTTTGTTGCTTCAGGTTTAGCCAGATTAGATGATCTCAATTATTGGCTCATACTTCAGGTTTAGCCAGATTAGATGATCTCAATTATTGGCTCATACTTCAGGTTTAGCCAGATTAGATGATCTCAATTATTGGCTCATACTTCAGGTTTAACCAGATTAGATGATCTCAATTATTGGCTCATACTTCAGGTTTAGCCAGATTAGATGATCTCAATTATTGGCTCATACTTCAGGTTTAGCCAGATTAGATGATCTCAATTATTGGCTCATACTTCAAGTTTAGCCAGATTAGATGATCTCAATTATTGGCTCATACTTCAGGTTTAGCCAGATTAGATGATTTCAATTAGTGGCTCATACTTCAAGTTTAGCCAGATTAGATGATCTCAATTAGTGGCTCATACTTCAGGTTTCTCAGAAATTTGTAAAGTATTGTTGTCCATCAAGACTTTCACTTCCACTTACAAAAAAAGTCTGTGATCAGTTTAATATTTACTAGGGATGTATGGGTAACCTGGCTAGTATTCGAGCCCAGACAGTTATTGGGCTACCCGGATAATACTAGAGTGTCGAAGTTAAAAACAGGCCAATCCAGGTAATTGAAAATGGCATCTAAGCCCTAATCTTTATGGCAACTTGCGCGGGACTGAAAGTTACAGTCAATAATTGATTTAGTTAAAACAACATTTACCGAGTATGAGCCAATAATTGAGATCATCTAATCTGGCTAAACTTGAAGTATAAGCCAATAATTGAGATCATCTAATCTGGCTAAACCTGAAGTATGAGCCAATAATTGAGATAATCTAATCTGGCTATCACAAATTGATGACTTACAAGACATTCAGAAAATTCACAGCCAAACATTTCCATACTTTTCATAAAATATATGTTATGACTGTTTAGTCAAAACCACTGCCTTCAATCAAAACATCAGGCCCTCAAACACACCCATTAATCCTTTACAGGATAGATATAATCCGGGTTGTTTGTTTTTTCATGCAAAACAAATCAAGGAAAATAAACCTTTCGGGAAGTGACACAGGATAACAAAATGTAAAATTAAATAATCAGTGCAAGAGAAATGAACTGATGTCCTTCGGTCTTAAACAAAAGCACACGGCTGCTGGGAAGCAAAGGTCACTTATATGGAGATAAATATAAAGTTCTTGTCAGTGAGTGGTACCAAAACCCTAAGTTTAATTACCTCTTCCGACTGATAAATTATCAAAAATTAATTGATGTTACACAATTCTAAACAAAAGCACTGATTTATAAATGATGAATAAAATCTTTAAACAACTCACCACATAAATTCTTTCCAACAGCAATTTTCAGATACCCATCCACTCCAAACTTAGAACCCCATGAGTTTCGCACAATATAGTATGGAACTGAACCTGACAAAATAAGATCCATATATTAAAATATATATATATATACATTTTTCCAGTTTAAGGCTGAATAGTATTTATCACAACAATTTCATAAATTAACCCCTTCTGAACTGGGAGGAGGGGGGGGGGCAAGATGTCGTAGATGTACTTTTATTACCCAATTGTATCAAATTGAGTACAAACTAACTAATACTATCTACTTTGTGCTCAAAAATATTCGTATAATTTCATTTTTCACAATTTTGTTCAAAAGCATGTAAAAAAATATTAATAGTTCTTTTTACTTTAAAATTGCAACATGTTTATTGTTGATCAGAAAGTTAAATTTTATATAAAATTATGTTGGTCGGACACTTACACTTCGCTACCCGATAATTTTAGTTCATAATCTCCTTTACATATCTTACTTAAGATCATAAAATAAAAATATTTCGTCAACATTAGTTTATTAGACAAACACTGCAGTCAGTAAAATATCAGTAAATATTTCTTCAATATTAGTTTATTAGATAAACACTGCAGTCAGTAAAATATCAGTAAATATTTCTTCAATATTAGTTTATTAGACAAACACTGCAGTCAGTAAAATATCAGTAAATATTTATTCAGTATTAGTTTATTAGACAAACACTGCAGTCAGTAAAATATCAGTAAATATTTATT